TCTTTATTTTCTGAAAATGTGTACGTTTGGTATTGTTTTTTCTTTAAATGTTTCATATAATATACCATTGAAGCCATCTGGGCTTGGACTTTTCTTTGTTTGGAGATTTTTAAATTGTTAATTCAGTTATTTACTTGATAGGGATCTATTATGGTGTTCTTTTTCTTCTTGAGTCAGTTTTCTTGTAGGAAAGTTTTTAATTACAAATTTACTTTCTTCACATAATCAGCTATTCAGGTTATCTGTTTCTTCTTTACTGAACTTCAGTGGCTTGTGTCTTTCTAGGAATTTGTACATTTCATTCAAGGTGTCTAATTTGTTGGTATAAATATGTTCATACCTTTTAGTTTCTGTAGAATCTTTAGTGAGGTCTCCTGTTCCATCTCTGATTTTGGTAATTATGTCCTCTCCTTTTCGTGGTCAGTCTAGAAATTTTTATCAGTATTATTAATCTTTTCAAAGAGCTTTTGATTTTATTGATTTTCTCTTTTGTTTCATTGATATCTGCTCTGATCTTTATAATTTCCATCCTGCTATTTACTTTGGGTTTGACTTGTCCTTTTTCTAGCTTTTTGAGGTGGGAATCAATTACTGGTTTTCACACTTTTAATATAAGCATTTAAAGCTGTAAATTTCCCTCTAAGCACTGTTTTAGCTATATCCCATAAATGTTGTGCTTTCATTTTGATTCAGTTCAAGATATTTTCTAACATCCCTTGTGATTTTTCCCCAGACCCATGGGTTATTTAGAAGTGTGTTATTTAATTTTCAAATATCAGGGGTTGGGGAGCCAGTTTCCTAGATTTGTGTTTTTAATTTTTAACTTAATTCTGTTGTGGTTTCAGGACATACTTTATATAATTTCAATTCTTTTAAATTTATTGAGACTTGCTTTATGACCTACCCTGAAATATGTTTTATGTTTTCTTGAAAAGAGTTTATTTTATACAGTTCTTGGGTAGACTCTTCTATAAATGTCAGGTCAGGTTTTTGATAGTGTTCTTCAATTTCTTTCTAATTTTCTGTCTAGTTCTATCAGTGACTGTGATAAGAGTATTGTAATCTCTAGCTATAATTATTGAATTGTCTGTTCCTCCTTTTATCATTTTTTGCTTCATGTATTTTGGGGTTCTCTTGTTAGGTGCATGTACATTTATAATGGTTATATATTCCTGATGGGTTGACCCTTTTATCATTATGCAGTGTCACTTTGTCCCTAGTAATAGTCTCTGCCTTAAAGTCTGTTTTATTGACAAAGCTCCTTATGGTTACTGTTGGCATGATTACCATCATTTTACCATGATTTTACTTTCATCATAAAGAGTGGGTCAGTTTTACTTGGAGGAAGAACAAGGCAATAACTAACTTTAAATAGAACAATAAAAATTATACTTCTAGTAATCTGAATAACCCCATTCAAATAGGCTAAGTCCTTGAGAAGTCTAGCTTTAAAAAACATTTAAAAATAAACATTGAAGAAAGCTAACACTTAAGGGACGAGCTCCCTAATATACCCAGGATGGTGTGGCCATTACACTGTAAAACTTTTCAATCTAAGGAAAACCCACAAATATGAAAATAAACATCAGAAAATGCTCTCACAAATTTTCCAACTTTCTTATTTTAATGTACTTACTCCTTTTTGATATCACATGGGATATGATGGGAGAGTGAAAGCAGGATTAAATATTTTGGAGATGTAGTAGCTTTGAATTAAAGCTGGCAACCAAGAAGGCTGGAAGCTGGGCAATTGTTCTTTTTCATTTCATATCTAGGGGATCACTGGAAAATGAACATAATTTGAGTAAGAGGTTTGACCTGATTTTCCTTGTACTCTTTGTTCTTAATAATTCCCCCCAATCTACATTCTCTCTCTCTCTCCTTGGATCAGCATTAGTTCATTCCACAAATATTTATTGAGTGCTTACTATGTGTCAAGCCCTGTTGTAAGCACTGGGCAAACTGCAAGAACAAAATAGAACAAATCCCTGCTTTCAAGGAACTTACATTCTAGTGAATGTAAATGCTTAAATGCTTAAAAAAAAAAAAAAAAAAAGAATACGTAATATTCTTTACATATTTAATATGTCATGTGACTCATACTTTAAAGAAATTTTAGAAGCATACATGGATTGAAAAGTGGGTCATCCCTGCTATTTTACATAACAGTAGTCAGGGAAAAAAATAGCATTTGAACAGAGACCTGAATAAAGTAGAGAACTGTTGGGTCTCTGCGGGAACACGATTCAAGAAAGAACGAACATATAATGTAAGTCCCAGAAGCAGTAGAAGATTGTGCTTAACTATTTCAAGGAATAGAAGGAACCCATTGTGGCTGGAGCAAAGTAAGCCAGGAGAAGAGGAGAGATCGAAGAGATAGCCCAAAACCAGATCATGCAGGGCTTTATTGGCCCTGGTAAGGACTTTGGATTTACAAGGTCATAATAATAAAACACTAATTAATGACTTAACCAAAAGTATAATGAAGCTACCATAAAAACGAAGGGGTGCAAAGGAGGGAGAGGTTGTTGGAGAACTAAATACTCATCTATCATTCCAGGAAGTTGGTAGATAATGCTTGAAAATGGTAAATCAGCAAAAGATAGCATGCACAAATTAACTAGAATTATGGGGGTAAATACCTGAAGAAACAGCTATACGAGCTAAAAGTGGTTTCACTAGGGAGTACGCAAGGGTGAGGCATGGAGTTGCTGCTTTTCACTATAAGCCTTTTAGTACTATTTAATTTTTTGTTTAACTATTAAGCATTTTTTTTAAGCTTATGAAATTTCTTGGTGGAGATTGGGAACCTCAACTCTAAACATGGAAGACATGGACAGCCCTCACAACCAAACTAGCCGGGGCTGGGACAGGCTGTGCAGGCCACCAACACTTTGTTCCTAGGTTGTATTTTCTGGATTGTCAACTGCTAGTCTCCTCCTACCCTGCATATCTGGTCACCACCACAGGGAAAAAAAAAATTTTTCTTCTGAATAAATTCTTACACTCCTAATTTTGATCCTGTACTCTCGTGCTGCTGTAAATAGTATTTTTTAAAAATAAGGTGGTGTTTATATATTTTCATTTTACAAAATACAGATTATATTGACCATATCTGATCTATAGCTATATAAGCCTTTTAATACTATTTTTTTAACGATTAGCACACCAAAACTCTGTATTTAATTTTTCAAATTATATAAAAAATGATAGTTTTAATTTGCACGTTTTTAATTATGTAAGATTTATTGTCAATTTATATTATTTTGTGGATATTTGTTCATGTCTTCTGCCCATTTTTCCATGGTATTTTTCTTATTTTTAAGGGCTCTGTGAGCTATTAACCATGTCATAGATACTACATTTTTCCCAATTTGTTGTTTTTGACATGTTTATGTATTTGGATGTTTTTATTTTCTAGTTTCCCCCCTTACTTTTATGCATATGTGGTGCAATGGATCACTTTTATATGGTCTTTCTTGCCATGGTCTTGTAACTCTCACCGAATGATTGGGTGGGGCTATGCAAATAAGGTGCTTGTGGCCCACCAAGGGGATTGGATAGTTTGCTAATAATGCAAATAAGGTGCTTGGCACCCTTGTGGAGGTAGGACCATGCAAATAAGGTGTATGGAACTGTAACGAGGGGATTGGTCAGTTCTGCCATCCTGCTAGGCTTAAAATGAGCCATCCCAGAGGCGGGAAAGGGGACCTCAATACCGCCAAGAAAAAAGAGCCAGGAGTGGAGTGCATCCTTTAGACCTGGGATCCTTGCACTGAGAACCTCCTAAACCCAGGAGACAGAGAGAGACAGCTGTAACACTGGAGACAGCAAGAGACAGCGAAAAGCAGCGGCAGAGAAATGGTGGCAGCAGATGCAGCAGAACCAGGAGACCAGCAGGAGATGGTGCAGTGGGCTGCCCATAGAGCAAGAAAGCTGAGTGCCTTCAGGAAGGAGGCTTGCTGGTGGAGCAGGGTGCCTCCAGATACTTGCTGGTGGAGCTAGGCTTGCCCACCCATGGAGCTAGGAGCTGAGCGCTTTCTGGCCAAGCCTTACTGGTAGAGTGGGGTGCCCCTCTGGGCACAGAGCTAAAGAGCTTTCTAACACTTTCCCGGGCAAGGCAGAGGCTGGGTCAATGGCCAGAAAGAGGCCTGCCTGCGGACACGGCTGAGAAGAGGCTGTCCTGATCAAACAACTGTATCCTGAGTCATTCCTGATCCTGAATTGTAACCTGTTACTTCCCTAATAAACCCCATAACTTCTGAGTCTGATCTGTGAGTTCTGTGTGGCCAATGCAGTTATGGAACCCAGCAGAGAAGTAGAGTGTGTCGTGGGACAGCTGGTGTCACAACTGGTGAAAAGGTTGGAGGGTGGAGGTATGTCTGACCACCGTCTCATCGGAATCAGCTTTAGGCAGATACTGATTCTCTTTCCCCCTTGTGAAGTTAGAGGTGGTCAGATGGCCCTGCCACGCCATTTTTACAGCTCAGCAATTCAGTAAATACTCACCTATATTCCCGTCTTTCCCTCGCCCCTAGTCCTTTTACTTTTACCCGCATTTTTTAAGCCTTTAGGTTCAGTGGGTGGAGCCCTGGTGGCACAGTAGTTAAGAGCTCGGCTGCTAACCTAAAGGTCGGTGGTTCAAATCCACCAGCCGCTCCTTGGAAACCCTATGGGGCAGTTCTGCTCTGTCCTATAGAGTACTATGAGTCGGATTCGACTCCACAGCAATGGGTTTTTTCGTAGGTTCAGTGGTATCTTCTTGGTCACACAGCTCACTTAAAGACATGACTTCAGTAACATACACTCACGGGCTTAGTTTATGAAAAGAGAATGATTTGATCCTCATAAAATAAGAGAATGATTTGATCCTTCTTAGTGTGGCTTATGATTTGGAATCCTTAGTTACATATTGTGTTTTCTGCGAAAATATACATTTATGTTTCTTCATTCAGCCACTTAACAGCTGTCTCCTAATTTTTAGGTGTCCCGGAGTCCTGATGGCAAACTTCAAGGGCCATGCTCTCCCAGGGAGTTTCTTCCTGTTAGTTGGACTGTGGTGGTCGGTGAAGTACCCACTGAAGTACTTTCACCAAAAGGGGAAGAACTGCCAGCTGAACCGTAATTATTCACGTATCGAGATAATTGAAGCAGCAGTCAGGACTTTGTTTCCAGTCATTGGTAAGAGTGGGGGTCATTTTGTCCAGAGAGTCTCCCCATCATATCCAGAACCCCAAACCCATTTTCAGGACTCTGTGAAATAGATGTTTCTACTGGCAGAAGGTGTAGCTACTGTAAAAGTGAAGGGGTGCAGGGGAGGGGGAGGCTGAAAGAGAGCTAAATCCTCATCTCTCATTCCAGGAAGTTAGTAGATAATGCCTGATGGATTTCCAGTTGATCACTAGACTGTGTTGTCAGAGCATCCACTGTGTACACAGCTTTGTCATTTTAATAGTTAAAACACCTCACATCATAGTACACTATGAAAAACCATCAAACTACATTCTGTGCCCTAGAAGTACATAGGTATAAGTTGTAGGAACAGAATACATATTACATGAAAAAGATATGGCACAAATAAAAATAGAAGACTAGATTAAGTTCACGTACACGAGTTATGAGAAAGTACTAATGGAGTTTAGTTTTAGAAAAATCATCTTTTTTCACCAATTGTCTCTCCTACTACCATCTCAGAGTAGTGACCACCCAACTCACTGGCCTGCTCCCCATCTCAAGCAACTGCAGAGAGGGGTACTTTATGCTAGGTTAGTCATAAGTAGATAATGGAATCATCTGAAAAAAGCCAGCAGAGGACAGATTTTCCTTTACCCCATCCCAAAAAACCCCACCACTTCGTGACTCGCCATCCACTCCACTCCACTCCCTAGTGGCTCTCCAAGGAGGGGCAGTGGCAGTACTCTAAGACGTGTTCTTCCTCAGGACCAGCCAATCGTGTGGTAATGAGGAATCTGGTTTTGCAATTGCATTCCCCCCTGGTGACTTTGGCCTACAGTTTCTTGAGAGAGACTGAGACAACCGCAGTCGCTGCACTTGGAGTAAACAAAATCTACAAGCTGTGTTTTCCTAATCCAGCTGAACATTCTCATTCACCACTCAGTCTGCAGAAAGGCTTCCTCACCCTTCTGGAGCAGGTAGACTGTAGGGGCCACATGGCTAGAACACTACTGACACTTGGCCTCTTGGCTGCGGTGAAAATACTGCTCATTCAACAAGTGTCTCCTGACCTGACCAGGGAACAGAAATTCACTGTTGTAGGTACTGAGAACACAGCAGGAAACCACAGTCTGCTCTCACAGGCTTGCTTTGGCATGACAGGGCAGCCTTTCCTGGGCTGTTTTCACCAACTCTTTGATCTTTTATATGCAAATTAAGGGGCTGGTTTGTAAAACAAATGTTTGGGTCTAGAATGTTGTCATGGGGGACTCCCTCTAGGCTTCCCCAGGAACATTTTGGGCAAGGCATATAGGCAAATCTTGTGCCTTCTTTACTAGGTGATAAAAGCAGAGGGGGAAATAGCTGAGAGCTACATTGTGACCCAGCTTCATCCATCTTCTGGCTACAGTCTTGCCTTTCCCAAGACACAGTCTGACCAGAAAGTGTCTAGGGCCTCCTCCTTTTTCTCCCGGCGTTTAGGAAGAAGAGCTGGAAGGAGCCGTCAGCTCAGACTAGCTCTGTACCTGGGAAGGGCACTCACTGATGGAGAGAGACCAGAGAACTGTTTCTCTCCCTTCGTGCCTGTAGACGTCCTGATCACCAGCACTGTCTCTGCTCAGATCCCATCATTTTCAACCTAGTTCTTCCTTTTTGAGATTTCCTTTACTGTTGACTTGGCAGGGGGACGCAAAGATGAATGGCTCTTAATCTCACTTAAGTGATGATGCCTGGCTTTGTCTCTGCTACTGGACACATTTCCAGGGGGCCTGGGCAGCTGTGTTTCTATTGCTTCTTCATCCCCCACTCCCCATCCCCTGAAAAGAACAGCAGCAAAAGCAAGGTGTCTACACAGGTTATCAGTGAATATCTTACTTTGTACTGGAGTAGCTGAACCCATGGCAGCACAGCAGGTTTGCTGAGCCCCAGGCCACCTCTACTGCACGTCTCTACTTTACTCATGACTTTGTGTTATTTTGTGTCGTCTCCTGTCTGTCTTGGAGCTATTCCTCCATCCTGCATTTCCATGCATTTCCTGCAGGGATCCTGGCAGAGCAGCTTGTTCCAGATGGGCCCCAGTTCCACTTGTACTCAGAAGATCAATGGGTGAAGATGATGAACTGGCAGCACAGCACCATGTACCTGTTCTTTGCAGCCTCAGGAATCACTGATATGCTCACCTATCTCGTCACCTACATTCCCCTGGGGGTGGACAGATTGATGATGGCCGTGGCAGCATTCGCTGAAGGTAATTTAGAGGAATGGAGGGAGAGAAGGGAGCAGAAACCGTCAAGTTATATTGGAGGGATCAGAACACAAGAGACCAGAAACATCACAACCTTCTCCAGAAATTCCAAATCCTTGGAATTTTCAGAGCCTCATCAGGACTCGGTCCTGTGCTCTGGATGGTAATGATGACATATTCCATTAAGCAGCCCATGAAAGCATGAGGCTTTTAAGCAGTTCTCAAACTGCCAGCTAAGGCTGCACAAGCCCTCCCTGCCTTCCCACAGCTGCCCCCACCCACCACTGCTCACACTCATGTGTAGAGGTATGTGTGCCTGCACACATACGCACAAACTGCCCAGAGATTAGCTGAATGCCACCAGGCAGGAGGACAGATCGCTGTGGTTAGGGAAGAGAGACTGCATTCCACCCTCCACCTCGGAGTGTTACTGTATTGACTCAACTGCTAGGGCAGATCTCCCAATGCAGCTTGTATTAGCTGAAAAAGCCTTTTGTAATCCAACAAGCTCTCTCTGTACCTCAGAAGAGCTGACAAAAGGCTGAATAAGGGTAAAGCTCCATTTCAAGCATGTGTATTGTGTATGTACATACACATAACCTACCTGTCATAAATCATTTCACCTGCCCTCCTGTATTGAACCTTACCATGGATTCTGTAATATATGTATCTCCTTGCTACTTACACCCACTTAACATATACACATGAAATAAACTTAATCTGCATGTTTGCTGCCCTATTCTGTAAATTGACTTCCAAGTGCTGAAAAATTCTAGCCTTGACACAGCTGTGGGAAGGAATTCTAATAGACAAAGAGTGAACCCTTTGAAATACACCCGAGAGGACTGCTGATGGCTGTAATCTGGTTTGGGCAGGTTTTCTCTTCTACTACCACGTTCATAACCGACCACCGCTGGACCAGCACATCCACTCCCTCCTGCTGTTCGCTGTGTTTGGTGGGGCCATCAGTACCTTCCTAGAGGTGATCCTTCGGGACAATATTGTGCTGGAACTTTTCCGGACCAGTCTCGTTATTCTTCAGGGCACCTGGTTCTGGCAGGTGATTATTGAAGCCAATGCTCCGTGCCCCGCACGGATTAGGAAGTCCTAGTGAGCACGTCCAAGGGAAGCCCTGAAGGGGGCACAATGCCTGAAAACGCAGCACTCACGTACCACGTGAATGAGTTTAGTCACTTTTCCCCCCATGCCCACCCCCTGGCCTGTGTAATTTTATCCACTAATATCCTGCTGATGCCTAAACAAGCAAGAATCTATGGAGCACACACAACTAGCAGATCAAATATTTTCCCAGGCCACACTCCTGTGAGATAATGATACCTTTTGCAGTTTCCACTGTAAATTATTCCCCTGCAATGTGGGCCCTGAAGAGTTTTCTTTAATAAGCCTACACTAAAACCAGAATCAACTTTCCTGCTTAAGAAGGCCTTCCTAAGACACTGTCAGAAATTGGAGCAAACTGTTGTTGGGTGCCGTCAGGTCAATTGCAACTCATGGTGATCCATGTGCCAGAGTACCACTGCCCCAGGAGGTTTTCTTGGCTGTAACCTTTAGGGAAGGCCTTCTCCCTGCAGAGCCACTGTGTAGGTTGAAACCACCAACCTTTCAGTTAGCAGCCACTTAACCATTGTACCACCAGGGCTTCTAAAGACTAATACGAGGGGCACCTGGATTTGCACCAGGGACCTACTGATCCGCAGGCAAATGCTCCACCCCCACTGGAGAACACTGAAGAGACATTATGACTAAGTGCAACATGGTACGCAACACTGTATGCTGAGACAGAAAGAGGACATTAGTGGAAAAACTGGTAAAACCTGGATACAGTTTGTAGTTTAGTTAGTAATGTTGCAATGCACCAACGTTCGTTTCATAGTTTTGATCAATACACCATGGTTACGTAAGATGCTGACATTAGGGGAAGCTTGGTGAGAAGTACAAGATCTCTTCCTACCATCTTTACAACTCTTCTGGAAAACTAAAGCTCTCGTTACAAATTAAAATGTCTGAAGAGAGAGGGAAAAAAAAGCCTTCCCATGCTAACAGAAGTGTGGGAGGTGATGGTAGGGAATGTCTGAGCAATTTGGGTGGCCATGGGAAGGCTAGGTTGTTTGAAAAGACCAACTTCTCCCTGTATTCCACCAGATTGGGTTTGTGCTGTTCCCGCCTTTTGGAACGCCTGAATGGGACCAGAAAGATCATGAAAATATCATGTTCATCACCATGTGTTACTCCTGGCACTACCTGGTTGCTGTCTGCATTGTGGCCATCAACTACTCGCTCGTTTACTGGTATGTTTGAGGGACAAACGTTTGTGAAGCCTTTTCTTCCTAACCCACCCGCAAAATCGATCACACTGGTACTCCCAGTGGCACACCTGTGATACCTGAGCAGTGCTTTCAACACTTAATGAGTGCCAACTATCTGCAGGTTCTGTGCAAGGTACGCCATACCTGCAGGGTAGGTATTACTACCCTAATTTGTGAACGAGGGTAACGAGGCTTCGAGAAGTTAGATGACTTGTCCAGATCACAGTAACGTGGTAGATTCAGGTTTCACAGGCAGTTCTGGCAGATTTGAAGCCTGTGGTGTGACAGGAACAACTCTAAATCAGGCATCGGTACTGCTGTCCTTGTCTCATTTGGGGCTCATCACTTCATTTCTGGGCTCGCCCTGCCAATTTCGAGAGCTGCTGTGACAATCAAATAATATACCATAGCAGAAAGTGCTCTTCAGGAATACACACTGTAACAGCTAGTAATTACTCTGCACTTCTGAGTTCCAGGCACTAGGTGAGCACTTAAAGTACATTACTGCATCTGATCCTCATCACTTCATGAAGTATGTTCTGTTACCGTGTTAAAAGATGAGGAAACCAGGGCTTCAAAAGGTTTAGTAGCTTGATTATGGTTACACAACTAGGAAACAGCAGAGCCCATCTTTAATCGCAGTGCTAAGGTGACTTTTAGCTTGCTGCTGTAGCTGCCCCTACCTTTTTTTTTTCCAGTCCCTTATTTCCCTAGACCCAAAGCAGATAACTTCTCCAGAGTCCTGTGCAGATCCAACAGGAGGGGACCGGAGGTCACAGTTCTAGTTCTGCTGCCTGGTCATGACCAAAAAAAAAAAAAAAAACCCACACCTACTGCTGTAGAGTCGATTCCGACTCATAGCGACCCTATAGGACAGAGCAGACCAGCCCCGTAGGGTTTCCATGGAGTGGCTGGTGGCTTTGAACTGTCTCAATTATGACATTAACTAATTGTAGTCGTGAGTCCTTTAATCTACTGGGTACAATGACAGATATTGTCTAAGAAGTCAGATATTGCAAATGCTTTAAACAGCTCTGGGGAAGGGAATGACTGAATGTGCTCGTTCCTCTGGTGCAGCCTTCTGACTCGGCTGAAGAGACACAGAGACGGAGAAACCATTGGGATCCAGCAGCTGAAGTCCTGTCACACTTACCACACTGCCCTCCTGAACGGCTCCGATGAGGAATGAGATGAGGGCATCAGCGGGGGTGATGCCAAACTGCCTGTGTGGGCGTGTACCCTGCAGACAGACAGCAAGCTTCGTTTGTGTCCCAGTGTGAAGAGAGATCAGACTCTTGGCGTTTTAGAGCAGGAAATGGCCTCATGGATGAACTCAGGGTATGAATCCAGCAGCAGAATTTACTGCTTCTGGTAACTTCCTTCTCTCAAGAAGCAAGTACTTTCTTATCAGAAAGACATTAGAATGTTAAAAGTGAATGACAGTACTTTCATTTTATAGATAAAATTCTAACTTACTATTTTTAAAAGTGGAATAATTCACAAGCTTTGGTATTTTAAATATTACTTGCTAAACATGTCTGAACTAATCATCATAATTATAATATACCAAAGGACTGCACTACCATTGTTGATAAGTCATGAAATCAGGCTGAGGGTGACTGTTTAAAGTCAGCTGAGCTGGAACTCAGATGTTCTGACTCCCCCAAGGTGCCCCAGTGGAGGATGCTGACAGGAGTGTGTTAATGAGGAGAGAGAAAACTGTCAGGTTATGAAGACCTTGACTCTGATACAGATGATGGACATACAGCAGGAATCCTGGACATGTGATACAAAGTCTTGACACTGTAGTCTTGGCTCTGGATCTGTTCTTTTTTTTTTTTGTTAACCTCCTTCAACAAACGTTTATTAAACATCCCCTCTGCACCAGCACGGTAATGGTATTACGGATCAAGGAGACGTCGCTCAGCACAGGGCTCGCAGTCTAATGGGAGCGATAGCCAGCCAGCAGTTATACACGGCGTACTTGGGGCTGAAGGAGGGGAGGAGAAATTCCCAGGCAGAGACAATAGTATGTACAAAGGCAATGAAGAACAGAGTTCAGAGAAATATGCTAAGTTCTGTAAGCTGACAGAGTAGGTTAGGACACATCTGAAGGGTCTTACAGACCAAATAATACCTTTCGTTTGTATGGCATTTTCCGGACTTTGAGATGCACCATCTCATTCCCACAACCACCTGTATTTTAAGTGTATGCGGTTCTTCAGAGAAGCTGATTGGCCTAAGGTGACAAAGCTAGTAAGTGACCAAACCAGTATTCAGTATGACTCAAAAGCCCAGCGTGTTTCTCACTATACCACCTGGCGACCTCGTACAAACATGGCAGAGATAATTCCTGTGAAGCACGGCATACTCTTTGGAAGATACACCAGAATTATAGGAAAGGTAACCTCCCATGGTCAGTCAACACTCAGAGTTCAGGGATTAAGAAAGAGCTGCTTAAAAATACTGGTTTAGTTATTAGGGATGAAGGACTCCGGGGACCCGTTTAGGGATCGACCTTGGTTTGGAAGCTGAGTAGGAAACTAAGCATTCATTCCACAAGTTCTGGAAACCTAAACCAGACCCGTTGCTGTTGAGTTGATTCCGACTAATAGTGACCCTACAGGACAGAGCAGAACTGCCCCATAGAGCTTCCGAGGAGTGCCTGGTGAATTCGAGCCACCCACCTTTTGGTTAGCAGCCGTAGCACTTAACCACTGCACCACCAGGGTTTCCACAAGTCCTGGAGGACTTAGACTTGCCAACTACTATGTCCCTTGGGTAAAATGTGTTCTTTTTTTAGGGATTGGAGGTAGGAAGGAGGAACCTAGTCCCTGTTTTCCTCTCATGGAAAAGATCTCCCTTCTAGAAAAAAGGGCAGGATACTTGAAGGAACTGTGTATTTTCTCCAGAGTGAGGTGTCGATGAGTGGATGTGAAACAGTAAAATTTATTTTGGTGTACTTCCAGGAAGTGACCCACCCTAGCGTAACTGTAACTCAGATGTGGTAGTAATGCACAAACCCATCCCAATGCCATTCACCAAATCCAGTCACAGAAACACGGCCTGAATGGTTTTCCCAGCCTCTGCCAAGCAGAGGTTCAGAGGCTCAATGGCTGCCACCTAGAAGTTCTTCTGGAATTGTTTCCCCCAAACACCCACCACAGCTGCCACATCTCTACGAGATCCTTGGGGTCTGCATCCTAAGGAACCATGTTTGGTGCAAATCCTGGTAATGTCACCTTGAACAATCCCAACAGGGAGTTTCTCACTCTGCAACATCCCAGTGACACATTAGATCGAGTCAGGATTATACTTGCTCGGGTGTGGAGCCAACATCTGCATCCTGATCTATGCCAGGATTTTACACCCCTGCTGTATACACACCTGTGTGCACAAAGCAGACAAGCAGAGTCAGGGGACATTAATAGATAAAAGCTTGGGGTAGGGTTGAAGCTAAATGGTGGAGCTATTTTGATGAAATCATTTGTAAATTCTGAAGGGGTCTGTTTGTAACCAGCAGTGAATACCTGAGACGAGCTCTCTCAAATTTCTATTGTTTTCTTATTAAGAAACTGTCACATGGCTACCTACATGAAATCTGACTCTAAGAAATGTGCAAAGATCAAAGTATTGTAAAACACAAACACGTGCTCCTTCACTTGGTTAAAAGACCCGTGTTTCCTTCCCTGCAGCCATTAAATTACTCATTGCTTCTGTGCCAGTCCGCCACTCGGCCATCAAAAGCTCAATCTCAGCCAGTTCTCCACTGCTCTCTCTAATCCAGACTTTCCCTCCTAATTCTGGGTCTTCCCCAAGCCTCATCATGACCCATTACAGCCATCACCTTCTGAGTAAGGCAGCAACAGAGAACTGGACTGCAAGTCAGAGGACTGGATTTACATTTGGGTTCTTTGACTTCACCTCTGACTCACATTTTCTCAGAATGAAAATGGGGACGATGACATCTATTTTACAGAACTGCTATGAGAATGAGATGTCTGTAAAACCACTCTGCATCCATCAAGCCACGCCAACTCCTCCACTCCTCTGCATCTTGCCTAATCCAACTCCAACCCACTACCCCATCTAAACCACTTCAATTCTGCGTCCTCCACATCTGCTTCCTCACCCAGAGCCCATAAACGATCATCATTAATTGTTCACAGATTAAGGAGACCTTTTTGATAATCTGGATACTTTCCAAAGAGACAAAGAAGCCCTATCATTGCAAAAAAGCTTTATCCCCACCTCTGCCCCAATACAAAAGAGGCATGTGTGTTTAACAACCAGTGCTTTAATGACGTTACATTTTCCAACATCACTCTGAGCGCTGCCTGTTGTTGGTGGAGGCTGAGCAGGGATGTGTGGAACAGCCAAGCCAGGGCTAAATGACTCACAAATCCAGACTGGCCTCTTCTGAGGCTGGCACCACCTAGCAGGCTGAGCCCTGCCCCTGAGCACCCCTAACTCCTTCCTGCCACCTTTGTACTGGGCCAGGAGTCAGCAAGCTTTTTCTCACAGGCCAGGTAAGGATTTTAGGCTTCAGAGCCATATGGTCTCCATCACAGCTACTACTCAACTCTGCGGTCGTAACTCTGAAATCAGCCACCGATAATATGTAAACAAATGGGCGTGGCTGTGTTCTAATAAAACTTTACTTACAAAATTCAGTGGCTAGCCCACAGCTCCAGGGCAAAACAGAATGTATGACCTCCAAACCGCAGCAAAGTCTGGGCTGCAGAGGCAGCACGGCTGCACATCCCCCACTCTGTCTACCTGGCTCTGCACCTGAGCACCGACGACAGCCTTGGTGAGGAGGACGAAGTCGGCAGCTAAACACGCACCACAGCCAAGATCCCAACACCCCACCTTGTGAGAGCAGCACCAAACGAATTCCATTGTAGGGAATCCACACCTTCACCTCACTCTCTATGGTTCCGTCCAGTCTTACAGCCTCTCAACTACTATGTAGTTAGTAAGTCAGCCACCAACTTAACTAAGAACCTTGCTGTTCTCTCATTCTGGTCAAAAGAATAAGTAATCAGTTTAGAGGGGCTAAAGCCCAAGTGTCTATTTGATAAAGATGTACAATAGGTTCTTTAAAAAAATAAAGTTACATAAAACTTTCTGGGCACAAAAGTCATATCCAGACCACTAGTCATGGAGAAGACCAGAAACTAAAAAGCACACTCTACATGCAGAACAGGCTTAGTCACTGCCTGCACAGTCTGTAACTGGTAAGCCTTCCCTAGATGTCCTACTCGCAGGAGAACACTCGGGCTTGTGGGACAGAGCTGACGCAGAATCGCCTCCCGGATCGGTGCGGGGCTGACCTTGTAACCCTGGCGTGACCCTCACTCAGAGTACTGCGCTATGGGCTGTGGCTGCAGAACTGAGGCCATGCTGCCGTCATCCCACTATGATGCAACCTCCCTGCCCCCGCCTTTCTGCTAGAGGCACAGACCAGGTGTGGTCTCTCTGGGAAGCCATCTTTCTCTCTCACATCACTGCTGTTCAGGTGCCTGCTTAGGAGATGGGGCCGTGGTCACAACAACAGTGGAGACTGCTTTGGAGGAACCAGAAGCTGTTCCCTGCTGGAGATGGGACGCTGGAACAGTCTGGATCCGCACCTGTTGGCAAAGAGAGAATATTCCATCAGCAGACTGCAAAACCCAAGTAGGTGCATCAAGTAAGAAGAGCGAAGGAAAAAGAGAGAAGACTGGGATGGCCAACAGTTTGTCCTGGACCTTACCTGTGTGGCCTGACCTTGCTGCTGAAGCTGCTGCAACTGCTGGGCAGTGAGGAAACTAACAGGCTTATTGCCGGCAATGAGCTTAGTACCCGCTGGCATGGTGGTGAGGATGATATTGCGGCCCAGCCCGCTGATGCTGTGGGAGGAAAGGAGGAGTCAGGTGTGACAAGAGGATGCGTCTCTCTGGCTCAGAACGAGGCTGCGCACCGAGAGACAACACAATGCCAGCACTCTGAGAAGCAGAAACCAGCTGACGAGACCAGCTTTCTTCCCGTTTCTATGCTTCCCACGGCAGGAGAAAAGAGCGGGTCCAGAAGCTCCCGTACCTCCATCAGCAGGAGTCAACTGTCCCAGAGACATCTGTGCTACTGACAAAACCCCCTCCCCAAAACAGCCTCATCACACAACCTGCCTTGAGACCATCAGGCCGATTTCATCCTGCTCTTCTGATCTCTGTTTAAGTCAGGCCCACAGGAAGCCCAGGGTCCCAAAGTGAGCCCTCATCCACCAAACGATCACACCATCAGGCTAAATAAATGCCAGAGCGAAGCCTTCCCTCACCATCATACCTGAACCTGCCATCTCTAGCCCCATTCTCACCTCCCCACTCCCCTCGTTGCTTTAGTGTCTCCACAGTATGTATCATCACCCAGAATAGTATGTATTTTACTTTCTTAATTCGCTCTTCCTCCTCAACGTGAGCCTGACGACAGCGTGGATTGCTGTCTTTGACTCACTGCTGCGTCCCCAGCACCCACAACAACACTAGGTGCTCAGTACTGTGAAGCAGCACAGGCGAGATGCTAAAGGAGAGCCCCAGAAACCAGCTGCCTTCTGCAGCCCTCTGCCCCGGAGTAGCCCTCACTACTCCACAGCACTTACTTGGCTCCGAGGTTGCCTTTGATGATGGGGGCTGTGACCACGTTTTTGCCCTTCATAGGCTGGCTAATCACAGAAAGTGGAACTGTGATCCGTGTGGGCAGCTTGCCCTAAAGAGAAAGAGCAATCGGGTTTCATGGAATTGCAGGAGCAAAGGGAAACCACCCAGCTGTCACCTGCAGGGCTCCAAGACCTGAGGCGCAGACCCAGCGGATGCTTTTCTTCCTCATACCCTCCAGGGGCCCCATGCTTCTCAGGTTTGGGCCATCGGCCCTCACAAAGTGCACATATCCTCTATATGTAACTGCTATCATCAGGATCAAGGAAGGCGTGTACCTAAATCGCAAAGGCAAGTACCATATTTTTACACAAGTAACGCATGCCTTTTACGTTTATTTGCCAACCGCGTATGAAAATACCTCACGGGGGGGCGGGAGTGGTTGGCAAACAAACGTAGCAGGCACGCGTTATCTGTGTAAAAATACAGTATATATTCAGTTAATCATGGTACTAGATTCTTAAGATCCTCAGAGGACAGGGTCGTACTCATCCCTGTGCCCCCCAATATGGCACACACAGTAACCATCTGGAGAAAGAAATGAAAGGAAGGGCAGAGGAATACAGAATTAATACAGGACCTGCCTAACCACTGCTTCCTGGAATGCACGTTTGCTGCAGGGAACAACAGGGCACATTTGACTAGGAAAAGGTCACATTCCCCAGGTGCTTTCTATTTCTCCCAGAGATAAAGAGAGGTTAGTTAGGGGACACTAACAATAAATTCAACCAGGTGAAAACTCCAGCCCCAAATCTAATAAGGCCTAAGAGGAACAACAACAAGGAAAATTTAGAGGCCTAGGGCCCTCTGGGGGCTCTGGTGGCGCAGCGGTCAGGAGCTCAGCTGCTAACAAAAGGTCGGCAGTTCGAATCCACCAGCTAGCTGTTCGTTGGAAACCCAGTGGGGCAGTTCTACTCTGTCGTACAGGGTCGCTATGAGTCGGGACTGACTCAATAGCAGTGGGTTTGTTCTTTTGGTTAGGGCCCTTTGGGATTTAGGATGGTGAGATTAAGTCACTGCATCACCTGTGTTTAGGCTGCCTGGTTAATGCTTGCTGGTAGTAAAATGTATACATGTGCACAGTAAAATCTTATGTAAATATGATTTTAAAGAATAATTCAAAAGAGGGGTTAACAGGATCCTGAGACAAGACAGCGACCTTTCTATGGGCCGGCTAGTCCTAAAGCAGCGAGGCGCACAACAGCAAAGCTGGTCCAGCGTCCCTGCGCCCATCTCTGGACAGTTTACCCCCAGTGTGCAGCTGGCTAGAAAGCACTAAGAGGTCAGCGGGCAGTACAGTACCTCTGGATGGTGCTTCCAAATGGACTTACTTAGGGCTTTATTTTCTCTTTGCTTGAGAATGCTTACTTGTTGAAAACATTTCAGACCACCTGTATACCAACTGGAACTGTCCCTTCAAGAACTAGCCAAACTAGCTGAGTAGAAAAGGGAAGCACCATTCAGTACTTCCTGCTCTACCAAATGCTCTTTGAGTATAATTACCTAAGCCGGATTAAAATATGGTAGATCCCACTGAAAGAACAGGGTTCAAAAGAGACGAGACTGGACCAAGTAAACAGTTTCCTTGCTTCCTTATTTCAACTTCTATGATACAGGAGCCTAAATAAATACTTCCTTTTAAACCACACAGTATTTCAGATTTTTTCTTGCTAATATGTATGTCCTTTTTCCTTCATCGTTCTGGGATGTATTCCAAATCACTAAAGTTTTACTATATAGCTTGATTAGAAAAGTGAAACTATATTTTATACTGTTCCTGTCAACTCCACTAGTCAGGACAGTGCACCTCACTTATCTAGAGGCCACTTTAAAGAATAAAAACACATGCTTCTAGAAACACACCTATGTTGATGGGGGTATTTGGTTTATGGTAAATGTGGCATTTCAAGTTGGTGGGGAAGGGACTGACTAGTCAGTGATGTTGGAATAATTTGAAAATATGAAGTTAAATTTCTACTTTAAGCCATTCACAAAAATATAGTTCAAATGGATTAGCAATTTAGTTTTTTTTTTACTCTGAAAGTATATGATTATCTTGATAACACTGGGGTAAGAAAGATACAAGGCAGAAAACTGGAAACCACTAAGAAAATACTGCCAGATCTACCGGATAAAACTGTCAACACCTACAGAGCAAAAGGCTCCACAATCAAGGCAAAGACCACCGTATTTTTACACAGATAACTCGCACCTTCTACGTCTGCCAAGCAGGCCCTCCCAAGGACGTATTTTTGTAAGCATGCTATGCTAATTTTTTTACACACTTATGAAAATACCTCGTGGGGAAGGTGTGGCTGGCAAACAAACACAAGAGGCACACATTATTTGCATAAATTGCAGTAATGACAGGCTGGGATAAAATATTTTTACACATATAAAGAATTAACTCCAGAGGCGTGGTCAACACGGAGGGTTAGACGCTTCCTATATCCGTCTTACAACAAAGACCTGGAAAAACAAGTGATTTGATTCTATGTGAACATCTGGCAGCCCTGAACAAGGCAAGGTTAAAAAATCCAACTGAGTCATACAAGAGAGGAAGACCGTTTGGAAGAGGTGAGGAGCTCTAGAGCCGCGGCGGCGAAACTGCAGAGACACAGCCACGCCGGGCCGCGGTGAAGCAGGCAACCAGCTGTGCTGTGCGCGTGCTCAAGAAGCAGCTTCCACATCGAGAAAGACCCAGCAGCAGAGATTCTGCTTGGACACTCCGAACCAGTGAAGAGCAGCTCCCAAGAGGCTACGATAAGTACATGCATGCACCCTTTCGTGGCGATTAAAAAAAAAAAAGCAAAAGCCCATTTGGGAAAAACCTCTCTCCCTTTTGCCTCCTACCTCTGTGCTCTGCACCAGATTTGGGAAAAACCTCTCTCCCTTTTACGTCCTACCTCCACGCTCTGCACCGGATTTGGGAAAAACCTGTCTCCCTTTTACCTCCTCCCTCCGCGCTCTGCACTGGATTTGGGAAAAACCTCTCTTCCTTTTACCTCCTTCCTCCGCGCTCTGCACCGGGAGTCCACTGGGCCGGAAGTAGATCCCAAAAGGCGCCCTGACCCATTCTCCTGGCCTTGGAGAGGGAACGAATAAGCTGCTGGCTCCCCTAGGCCAGGAACACAGGGTCAGCACAGCTCCTTTGCTAGCCACAGAAATCAGGAGTCCGCAGACTCTGAGTGCCATACACTCTGTATAGACTGGCAGGGACCCCTCTCAACAGCGTTAGCCCTCACTGCCACAGTACAACAGGGCAAACATCTGAAGTTTAACTTCAACTGCTTCAGCTGTGAACGGGCAGATCTGTGACCCTTGAAACAGCCCTGCCCCTCAAGTAGGCACTTTATCAATCTGCAGCAGGGTCTTGAGGACTGGTGGTAGCTCCTAAAGTGCCTAGTCACCTGCTACAGGAGTTCAAGAAAAAGTGGTGCCCTCCAGTCTTTGCAGCCAACATAGTGGGGTGCTCTTAGCCTGGCTGCAAAATTTACCTACCTATTCACTCTAGAGAATAGGGACATGCTTTTCTTTCAGATTTTCAGGGGCAGCCATCAGCCCCCTGCCTGGCTCAGTGCGTGATCCCCTACCACAGCCAGAGTCCAGTGCCTGCACCAATCACCCATGCCTCTCTAGGACTGGAGGTGAGAGCCTGCATCGCACACTTGGTGACCGACTGCCTGCACACCCGAGCTGATCCATATAGGAAATTTTAACGGACTCCGGTATGCACATACTTAGTTACAGAACTAACTACCTGGTGACAGGACATTAGAGATCCAAAGGTGTCAAAAATCAAACTAGTGCACACGAGCAGTTTATTTGGGCCTATCAAAACAACACAAAATAAGAAGCTAGGTCTCACTAAGCAAACACAAAATAAAATTATAATAAATTATTGATGGCTTGGAGACAA